TCCTCAAAAAGGACACTGGTGAAACGTAATTTTACCCAAAGTACAGTCAGGGTTTGGATGTGATTCTTCTTGCCTATCACATCAGGGGCAGGCAAGTTGATTTTGTCGCTGGGCTGGCAAGTTTTCTCTCTGACTTCCATGGGCCCCCATCACCATAGTGTCTGAGGCCGCTCTCAATCCATAATGTATTTATCCCCATAGACCCTCTGTGCTGCAGGGCAGAGCTGTTATCCCCATTTCACAGCTGGGAAACTGAGGCACAGATAGGCTAGGTTAGTGGAGGAGCTAACAGTTTACAGTCACCTGGCTGGACTTAAAGCCAGGGCAGGTGTGTGGCTTAATGAGGGATTAATGGGTAAGGCAGGAGCTCAGAAGTAAGGCGCAGGGGGTGAGTGAATTAGCATAAAGATCAGAGCAGCCCGAGCCTGCAGCCTGTGGGCCTGAGGAGAGGTGTGTTTGAGTTTTGTCTGTCCTGCAGTTTCTCTGGAGGGGGGGGGAACCGCCCTCAGAGGGAGGCTAATTAAGGTGCTGAGACAGACTTGGGGCTCTGAGTTCAGTTCGCAGCCTTGCTGCAGAATCCCTGTGTGACCCTGGGCCAGTCTGTTTCCGGTGGAGCTCCGCTCTCATTTAGGCCCCCAAAGGAGTGGCTGGACTTTCAGCAGAGCCCCATGTGTCAGGTGCAGAGCGAGCTCCTTCGAAAGACTGTCCCCAGCTGTGAGAGCGAACCCCGCCGCTGGCAGCAACAGAGGGAGAGCAAGGCTTAGCCACTGGGCCCTGCGCAGAGCCGGGTTCGCTGGCATGCTGGTGAACGTAGCACCCACCATCACCACCATGGAGGCCGCTCTCTACAGCCGTGGGATTGTTCCTAAAAAACTCTAGTGTGTGCTCAACTTCTGTGCCTCAGTTTCCCCATCTGTAAAATGCAGCTAACAGCACTGCTTTACCTTGCTGGGGTGCGGTGAGGCTAAGCCCTTCACAACTGGGGAGGCACTCAGATAGCGTCATGCTGGGAATGACATAAGGGGGCAGCTGAATGAGCCTGGGCATATCGACAAGGAACAATGGGGAGCGGCTGTGAATGGCAACACGTTCCCCTGGGTTCTTGCTGCGAATTCCTTTGCAAGGCAGAGAGTGGAGGGGGACTGATGGCAGAGAGTGGCTTGCACAAAGTAACGTGTTGAGTGAAGACTTTTAGGGATGCGGTGGCCCCTGAGAAATCATTTCTGCAAAGGCCCTGGGTACGCCTGCAGGTTTTCCATTGTCATTCTTTGAGGAATGAAAATCCTGGTGTGTGCGTTTGAACCTTCCACTCAGGGAGAGTTTGCATAACCCACGGTGTGTTCATGGGAGATATTCATGGCTGAAGCTAATTCTCTCTAGTACTTAGTGGCTGAGAATGTTAGACAGGCCCTCTGGGCCCTGCACAGCATGGTCACAGTCAGGCTGCTGTTTTGAAGTCAAACCTGCCGCTTCCTGGTGCCAAAAAATTAGCTAGGACCATAAGCTAATATTAAATCCTTGGCAAGAGCTTCAAGACAGCAGGCACACAGCTGGGTTAAAGTGATGACCTGGAAACAGCCAATTATTTCTCCTAACAGGACCCTTCTGAGTTACAATCTTTCCTTCCTTTTTCCTTTGGAGGGAGACCTCCTGGATACAGTGTGTCCAGCCAGGAGCTGGTCGCAAGGGCTCTGGACACTAGTGAGCTGACACAGGGACAAACTGGTGACCGAGCCCTGGCCAGGACTGTCTTTGACAGGGTGATCGCTGCTTTTTAGCAAGAGCAGGGAGGGGAGATTTTGGGGAAAGGTTGAGGCGTGAGAGAGAACTGCTGCGTGTTTATTTTTAGTCGGGGTTTCTCTAAAGGACTTGAAAAGCTTCCGGCAGATCCCCCTAGCCCTGTCGCTCTGGCGGGCTGCAGCACCTTTCATGCTCCCCGGCTCACCCACTGGGCAGCAGTCTCGGGTAGGTCTGAGTTGCAATGGCAGCGTCAGATCAGCCCAGCCCGGTTCTGGCAGGTGGGGCCCCAGGGCTGGTGTTCTCTGCTGTAGCAGGCCCGGCATCGCTGCCTGCAAGGGAAACCCTTGCAGCCGTGAGTATCGTGGGCTCTGATGTGCTGGATGGGGCTGCTGATCCAGCTCCCTTCTGCGTGTTCTCTATGCATAGCCTGTTTTCTTTTAAAATTGGTTTCTCAACAGTAGACAGATTCACCAGCCCAATTAAACTGAACGTCTGCCAGTGCTTTGCCTCGGGGCCTGGCACCAAGAAGGCAACCAAAGAGTAACTTTTGTGCGGACTTGTCCTAGAACCTGATGCCTTCGAGGCCCAGTTGTTTCTTACAAGAAGCAGTGACCGCAGCCTTTGGCAATTAACCATCCTCCCAGAGTCATCTACTCACTAACCACATGCCATAAGATAGCAACCAGGCATGTCAAATGAACAACAAGAAACACAAGACTTTTAAGAGCAGTTTTTTATTACGCAAAAAAATATTCCATCCTACTGATGCCTTTAACAGTGGTGCAAGGAACGCTCCCAGCTTCAAAGGCAGGACAAGACCCAGCGGCTGGAAGCGGAAGCTAGACCCATTCAGACTAGAAACGCAATGCACAGTGTTAAGGGTGCAGGAACCACGCACCCCGGGGCACAGTGGATTTGCCGTCACCCAAAGGCTTTAAATCAAGACTGGGCGTCTCTTTCGAAAAGCTCCTGTAGCTCAGCCAAAAGTGGTGGGCTTGATGCAGGAACAGCTGGGTGAAATCTGGCCTGTGCTGTGCCGAGGTCAGATGATCGTAACAGTCCCTCCTGGCCTTAAAATCTAGGAATCTAGAAATACTTGGAGTGGATGTCCACCCACCGGCGCTGGGCTCTGAATCCACTGAATTATACAGTTCTTATATGTCCATAGAAGATGAGAGTAGCTCAGATTAGATTTCATGTGCTCTGGCCCACAGCTGAGTCGGGCGCATGTCTCTTCTGTGGTATCTGCCTTTCAAAAGCCGGAAACCGCCCAAAGAGCTGAGGAAGCACCTTGTTCCATGCTGGTAGTGAGCAGTCCCAGCCCCATCTCTGCCCAGCGTCATCTCCCACCAGACACCACGGCCTTGGCTATTTCCTATTTAAAAATAAACCAGGATGGGCTGGTGAAAGCAGCACTTGTTAATGAATAAGGGACGCCGGCAGAGCCCCCAGAGAGCTCACCATTGTAAATCAGCGTACGGTGACCGTGCACTGGCCCCTAGTATGTGGCATTTCTCTGGCTCTTCTCAGTGAGGATCTCAAAGCAAGTTACAGACATTGACTAATTGAGTGTCACGATCCCTCCTGCCCGTTAGCTGTTTTGATCCCTGTGTTACAGACGGGAAAACTAAGGGACCAAGCGGTTAAATAATGATGTGCTAAGAGTCACATGAGGCAGTGGCAGAGCTGGGCATGGAACCCAGAAACCCTATCTCCTAGTCCCCCCTGCTCTAACCACTAGACCCTCTGTTCCCCTACCAGAGCCAGGAATAGAACCTGGGATCCCACTTTTAACTTCCAGAGCAAGAAAGCCGGTTAGTGTGAGTGCACAAGTCTGCAGAAATCTATTTTTGAAGGTTAGGCTTTCTTAGATCTGCTTGGAAACAAAACTTTCCCCTTCACAAGTGTGTGGACAGGCACAGCAATATACGAATACATACGTGTTCTCTTTGGGGTGTCCCATGAAAGAGAGGGACGTGAGGGAGAGCAGTTCTGGGATAGACATTGGGGTGCACATACTTGAAAGATCTTGAATCGCCTTGAAGAGCTACTTCAGTAACCAAAGGACTCCTGCCCAAATTGGGACAACGGACTCGACCGAACTGCTCCCCTGCCCCAGGTTCCGGCTGCTTTTGCTGCTGGAATGCTCAGCCCGGGATCTGATCAGCTAGAAATGTGCAGGTGCCTTGTAACCAGCAGCTTCACTCTGCACACAAATGGCACCACGCTGATTCTGGGCATGGTTAGCAATGCTCCAAGCATCCAGCCACGCCTAGGAATAGGCGAAGTACACCCTGTGCACACAGCCAAGCACGGGGCTGTGCACCAGGTGAGCTGTAAGTGGTATGCAGGAGCCAGAAAACCCATCCCGCCTCACACGCCCTTTGCCCATGCGTCTGATGTGATCACTCACTTGGGAGTAGCCAGATGTTTTTTTCTTTAGTCAGGTACAAACTAAACTGCTGTTTAAGGAAGACAAATAGACGCATCCACCCTTTGCTACAGGCATCAACATGTAATCATCACAAGGGGTTCTGCGCTCTCCAAGATGACCAGACATAACCCTGTCTTCCTTGGGGCTGCTCCTGTTAGGCTGGGGGCAGGGCATTCCGGCTGTAATTAGAAGCAAAGTGTCACCATTTCAGAGAGGTGAGGTAGGAATCTGCTTCTGGGAGCTGTAATGCAAGGCCTGGCCTTGTGACGTGGGAGAAAGGGGTTCCTCAGAACTCTGGCAGGAAGCGGCTCTGTAACGTTCCCTGTTCCTTGGCTAATGGCCACACAATGCCTGCAGCCCCTGCGGGCTTATGAAGAAGGGAATTAACCACAGCCCAGGCCTAATGAAGCATTGAGGTTGCATCTAAGCACTAGTGCAGGGAAAGCACCGTTGTGGGTCTTGTGTTTGGCACGGGGGGGTTGAAATTCCCATCAAACACAAACTTTCTTTGCACTTCCAATTGTCCGTTGCGCTCCCTTGTTGTGTCTAGATTGTCAGTTCCCCCAGACAGGGACCACGTCACCTTCAGTGTGAATGTGGGGCCTGATCCAGATTGATGCCGGGAGGTGCTGTCAGAATATGATGCTGAGGTTCCAAAAGCTACCTAAGGAATTTGGGTGCCCAGTAAATGGGAACTGTGTATCAAAATCCCCTGGGTGGTTTTGGAAATTGCAGCCTAAATCCATAATAATTCTCCTCCTATGTTTGGCTGATGAACCTGCCCAAATACCTTATTGTTAACCCCTCCCTTTTTCCCCCCAGAGATCAAGTACATCGAAATGACTCCCACCCGAGCCAAGAGCCATGAATCGATGCAAGGCTCCGCCAGTCCTTGCATCACTCCGCTCTCCATGTCGCCCCAAGGCAACTGCTTCCTGCTCCCAAGAGGGGTGCTAGCCCGGGACAACTGCACCCCGAATGGCAGTCTTGTCTTCTCGAGCCCCTCCGGGCCCGACAGCAACCAGGCAGCTCCTCAAAATCAGCCACCCACTGGGAGCTCCCCCCAGACCAGCTACAGAGTGTCTGAATGTGTGTCCATCCCGCAGCGTGGTCCGAAGGATTGCATCTCCTATAGGCCAAATACTCTCCTGGCCACCTCTCCCGGCCTGGAGAGTTTGCGGAGGGCTTTGTACATTGGCCGGGCTCAGCAGAGAACCAGCAGGGTCTCCATGCTCTCCACGAGCCCAGGATCAGATACCAGTTACGTGCTCGGAAGGTAAATCCGCCTTTGTGATGTCTGTGCATTCAGCGGCTCGGGTGTATTTCCGCAAAGAATGAGCCATGGCAGAGAGTTTCTCCACCTTTATGGAGATGGCCCTGTTCAGAAGCCAGGTGGGTGGGGATGGACAGAAAGCTCTTGGGGGGTTCAAAGCCTAACATACCACAGTGCTGCATTCTCCCACGAAACAGCAGATGTGCTGGTGCCCCCCTCCTGCCTTTCCGCAAGGAGCGGTTCATGTCGCGGGAAAAGACTGGAGAGTGGGAGCAGAGTAAAGGGCAGAAGAGGGAGCTGGCTGTGCCGGCACAATCCCACAGTGCTTTATTCCCCCCTTGGGTGGTTATTTGATGTCACAGGAGCCAGGCAAGGTTCCCCCAGCTCCACCCTGCCCCTAGGCAACCTCTTATTTGGCTTGCTGCATAGCACGTCAACTGGAGAACAAGCCCTCCAATTTCCCTGTACCTTCTGCTTTTCTTCTGCAGCAGCACCCAGTCGCTTCTCAACGATGATTCCGACTCTTACCAACCTGCCCACAGATTAGTGGAGAAAAGCCCCTTATCTATTGGCTCCTTCGGTAGCCCTTGTCTCACTTCCCCAGGCGTCCAAGTCCATGGTTTTGGAGAAGCCTTTAGCCCAGGTCCCAGTTCCAACAAAGTGAACACCTCTTCCTGCCTGCCACTCCAGAAGGGACACGCCAGCAGCTGTCCCCCGTCCATTGTTAACTCCGTCACTGATATCCCCATACTGCTGGTCAACGGATGTCTGGAACATGGTGAGGCATCTCCCAGGATGGGCAAAGACTTCCAGGGTTCCGTCAAGCAGAAAATTCCACCCAGTTCCAGCTCCTCCTCAGGGATAAGCAGCTTGAATAAGACCTCTTCTGAAACGTCTCTCTCCTTCTCCACAAACGGTAAGTTGTGCCTGTTTTGAGTTGGAACCACTCTCTGTTTCAGAGTGAAGTTATCCAACACAGAGAATCCCATTGGGTTACCAAGGTGGAAAGACAGGATGAAACTGGAGATTGTGTTTCCACTTCCAATCTAGCTTTCATTTATAAATAGTTAATAAGACACTAATAGATATTGTAGATATCCTTGACGGTGTCCTTGATGGTGATAACCCCGTCATCAGAGGTGTTAGAGATGGTTATAAGTCATGGTTGTAAGCAACCTGTTGGACTCTCTCAAGATCTAGAATGATTGATTAATCATTTATTGAAATAGCTAGTCATCATTTTTAACCCTTCATAAAGTGGAACCCCAATATAAAGTGTGACCAAGATGTCGTATAAATGAAAACTCTCTCCTGCAGAAAATTGTGTGCAGAAATGTTCAAGAATTGTTCATTAAAAAGGGGGTTAAAAACATCCGGTAACGATGAGGTTCTGTAAAATTATAGGGCCCCATCCTCAGCTGGCGTGACCAGGGTAGTTCCATTGAAGCAGATGGAGCTTTGCTCATTTACACTGGCTGAGAACATGACCCATAATGTTTTAATTTCATCCTTATTTCAGGGCTAAGACTTTTTTGCCCCCATTTGTTTTTGGAGGACATCTAAAGATACCAAAAGTTTGGGAAACACGAGGTTCCTAGTTCAAGAGTAAACAACTGGGCCATTGTTCTCTGGAATAGTTTACGGGGGTAGCTCCCGACAGAGACTTTTCATCTGGACTCTCCCGGGAAAGAAAAGAGGGATGTCTCTCAACATAGCGCTCTTGACTTCAGTGGAGTTGGGCCGATACACACCAGCCGAGGAGTAGCCTATTATCTTTCTGATCTTGACTGTGGTTTGCCAAGAAGACAATGAAGTGGGGAGCGAATTATGCTGGAAACCGGAGAGGAAGTTCTAATGGAAAGACTTGAGCAAACATTTAAATCCAAGCTCAGTTAAAAGAGAAACAGTCTTTGTTAGGGTTCTTCTCCCCTTAAAGATGCCAGGGAAGAGACTCCCTGGGATCTAAATACCTATAACACATGCCTAGGTCTCTCTGCAAAGAGAGAGGTTCGTGTCATGTGCCATGCATGAGGGAATGCCATTGTCTCTTGCAGGTCCCTCCAAAGATGGTGAGCCAACCATGAAGTTTGTGATGGACACGTCAAAATACTGGTTCAAGCCAAGCATTACAAGGGACCAAGGTAAAAAGAGTGGAGATTTTGTTGCTAGGCCTATCCCATTACCAAATCTACCCTTCTGCATAGTTCTTGGAGAGCTGCTCGTCTCATGGGGTGGCAGAGGACCCGCAGACGCGCTATGCATCACTTAGGTCCCATAGTGACTTATTTCCTAATTGCATCCTAACCCAATAAAAGCTGGTGTTACAGGAGTGAAAGAGCCACTCACCACTCTACAGATGACGCTCAGGAAACACCAGGTCTTCACTCTGTCTGTGCTGTCAGAGTCGAGAAGAATACGCTCCCCTTTCTACCAATCAGTTGAGTGAGCTTGGTTTTGGAAAGGGCTGACTGTATTTTTCAATTCCCAGGATACGGATCCTGGCTGAAGTCAAATGCTTCTTGAATCACCCCTGTGCAGTAGCACCATTCTGGTCAGGTCTTCTGCAAGGACAGAGCCTGGACCTCTGAATTTAAAAGCTCAATGAGGCAACAGCTAAAGAAGCAGGTCCATTAGTTCGGAGGACCTAACATTAGCAGATTCATTAAATGAGGATATGCGGTCTAGCCACTAAAGGGAGACAAAGCACCAGACTGTTAGCTTGGGTTGCACATGCCTGAAGGAAATACTCATATGCACCCTGAAACCCACCCCGCTGCATTTCACTCCCCCCTGTGGATGGTTACAGCACTAGACAGAGGGAATGCTGAGTTCAGAAATGCCGAAATGCCGCTTGCATTGCATGGGTAACCCTCTCCTCTGTGCCTTCAGCCATCCGACTTCTGAAGGAGGCGGAACCAGGGGCTTTCCTCATGCGGGACAGCACATCGTACCGCGGGTCGTTCGGGCTGGCGATGAAGGTTCTCAGCTCACCATCCAGCTGCGAGACAGGTACAGAGAGGCCTCTTAAGAACACAGAGCTAAACTCCCAGGAGAATCGCGTAAGCCAGGTTCAGCGGTTTGTAATGGAGCCAATAAGCAATGAGAGTTTTGCTTGATTAGGGACCCACCCCTGTGGGTCAGCAAAAGGGCCACACATCACTTGAAACCTCAAAACAGGGCTGCAGGGGGACGTAAGGGTCAGTGCCAAATTGCCTGGAGGTGGCCCAGAAGCACCATTGAAATGGCATTTTGAAAATCCCACCCTGCAGGTAGAGCTGAACTAAAGGGGGTCATGCAGTTACCGCCCAGCCCGGAGGCATGCAGGGAAAGTGGAGGGTCAAAAACAGGGTGGGCAGTAACACTGGAGATTGTGGTAGAGCCTCTCTTGCATTTTGCTTGAAGGTGAGGACAGCAGCGACCTGGTCCGACACTTCCTCATTGAGTCATCTGCCAAAGGAGTGCACCTTAAAGGGGCCAGCGAGGAGCCCTATTTTGGTAAGGATATGTCTGTCCTGGAGCGGCAGCTACGGGAGGAGTATTACATGTATTATGGTAGCACCAGGGCCCTGACCGCAGCTGTGCCTGGTGCTTGTCTACACCGCGGCGTAAATGCTTGTGGCAGACGCCTCCCAGCGTGTGCCGCGTGACCAGTCAGAGCTGCGCATACAACGGGTAAAAGCGCTAGGTAATAGACCAACGCCACCGTCTTCACTCCGGCCAGCTGAGACCGGGGCAGGGAGGTGGGAGGACGTGGGAGCTGGTGGGTTCACGTGTTCCTGCCGTCCGGTAAGCCTCTCGCTGTCTCGGTTGCAGGGAGCCTGTCGGCCTTCGTCTACCAGCACGCCATCACACCGCTAGCCCTGCCCTGCAAGCTGGCCATCCCCACACGAGGTACGGGGCCGACTTGGAGGAGACCAGCAGGCAGAAATCCTGGGAGTTAGCGAGGGGGGCGGCTAGGTGGCCATTGCGGACACGTCTGGACTTCACAGCTGCGGAATGGCCCTCCCCTCCCCCAGTCCAGCAAAATGGGAGTTTGGAAGGGGCCAGCACATGGCACGCATAGGGCCTGGCCATTACCGCAGTGCGGACACGTCAGTGGGAATGGGGGACAGCACTGGTAGGTGGGGTCGGGGGTCAGGGAGAGGCATGAATGGTTGGCAGCTGTAAGTGCCACTGTGGTGAGGGGTGATGAGGAAAACTGGCCAATACCTCCCTGGCTGTGGGCAGAGCGGACGCTGTCTTCTCAATCCCGTGCAGCGATACCAACCCGCTGGCTGCCGTTGCTAAACCCAGCGAGCGGGCGGGGTGCGAGCAGCCTCTGCAGCAGTCCAAGGGGTGGGGGGTGCACGTGAGCCCGTAGAGAGACCCCTGGGCTGGGAAGAGGGCTCCGGAGAGCTGGCCCGGCAGCCGCAAAGCACCACAATCTGCATCAGGGCCGGAAAGGCGGAGCAGCGTGGACGAACAAGGAGGGGTCAGATCACAGAGGTGGAGGGAGGACACAGACACGAAGGGCTTGGAAGAGGTGGAGGGTGATGGTGGGGGATGTCCCTGGATCCCTGAATAGATGTGGCCTATTCACAGCGGGTGAAATTCACCCGCGTGCAGAGACCCTAAGACTTAACCGGCTCCTGGGCTCTGTGTGTCCTCTGAACAGAGGGTGAATTTCACCCCTGGCCAACCGTTGATTTCAGAGCTGCTTGCTCCGTCCATGCCTCACAGTTCTGTTTGTTCCTTGCACAGATTTCGCTGGCGGAGAAAATAGCCCTGAGACCCCCCTGGAATCTGCACTTTCTGCAAGGAAGCAAACTGCTGGTGAGCAAAGAAAAGCAACCAGGTTTCTTCCGGGCTTTATTTGCTGAAGGGGCAACTGTCGCCATCCTGCAGGCCTTTGGACTTCACCCCGTGCGGAGTGATTTCACCTGTAACACACCCGACCCTGCGATTTTTTTTTCCCCGTTGTGATCAATTCTGACACAAGTCGCGGAAGCAGTGGAGGAGCAGCTGCCGTGAGCAGGGCCCGTAGCTTGGGGGAACGGGAGGGGAGCGGCGTTGCCAGTTTGCACCATTTTATCACAAGTCGTGTGGCCCCTGGTGTTCTTCTTGTAGCCCCAATCCCAGGAATCGGGGACTGCCTGAGAATCTCAGCTTGCTTTAAAATGAAAGGCAGCAGCCAGCTCTCATGCCTGAGAAACGTTTGCAAACGGCTCAAACCTCCGAAGGCAAAGGAAGAGAACCCGACTACTGATTTCTGAACACCTGGGATTTGGCGGTCCTGGGGCAAGGCTGTTGTGGCTGCTTCGAGCTGCTGTGTGGACAAGCATAGGGGGCCTAATGGGGGAAGTGTAAAGACTCCCGGGCTAGGAGGATGTAAAGGTCATTCTCCTGTCCTGAGTATGCAGCCAGTAACAGGTGCGCTGCGGGCGAGGGCTGAGGACCAGGGAGAGAAATGTAGTATAATTATTGCGGGTCTGACTGTCGTGCCGTGGGCAGGGGCCCCAGTGCGCTAGGTGCTGTACAAACACAGAACAAAGAGCTGGTCCCCTGCTCGCTCTTCAAAGCAGGCAGGCGGGGCCCGCAGACCCAGCGTGGCGCTGACCTTGGTTTTGTGCTGTGCCCTTGCAGCCTGCAATGTCTTGTACCTCAACTCCGTGAGCGTGGAGACGCTGACCGGCGCCTCGGCGGTTCAGAAAGCCGTCTCCTCCACCTTCGAGCCGGAGACGCTGCCCGTGCCCACCATTGTTCACTTCAAAGTGACCGAGCAAGGAATAACCCTGACCGACGTCCAGAGAAAGTAAGGACGGTCATCTGGGACAAGCCTGCCCGGTCCAGCGGAGATGCTGGCGTTCGACTCCCTGGGATTTGTCAGGGCTGGCCGAGTGTCTAGATTCCAGCATGAATGGGGACAGGGCTGCATACAACCTCGTTATCTTAATCCTGAGCTTCCTCTCCGAAATGGGGCCAAAGCCTCCTCCCGGTTCCAGTGTTGCAAGCCCCATGTAAATTACAGGGGAAACTGGTCCTCTGGGACAAATTAATCCCTTCTGTAATTGGAGGCGTAACCCCCAGGCTGTATTTGACCCATTACATTTACTAGTACAGGGACAGGATTCCACTTGGAGCAAAGCCACTGTAACTGCCACTGGCCCTTTGGTGACGGGAGTTAGAATCGGGCGCTAAATTCATGTCACTGCTCAGCCGAGATGGATCTGATCCCAGCCCTTAGGCACTGATGGGCTCCTTGGCTCAGCAAGAATGGTTTGACTTTGAAGAAGTGTATTTCTCCCCATTGAGCTATCCAGGAGCTGCCCCTTTTAAAGCCTTCTCTTCTTCCCCTCTGCAGGGTGTTTTTCCGAAGGCACTATCCCCTCGCTGCCCTCAGCTTCTGTAGCATGGATCCTGAGAACAGAAAGTAAGTTGCAACTTACTCTGCAAGTCGGGGCAGTTAAGTTATTCAGGGTGCAGGCTGGGTGCTGTAGTGTTCATCTGACCCTTGACGGAAAATAACTGCCATGTGTCTCATGCCCGGTGGGCACCGGATGGGACCAAGGACTGGACCTGAGTAGAAAGTCAAAATTGAAAGAACAGATCAAAATTCCAGATTTTCAGAAAAGACTAATCTGAAGTTCAGCTTTTTTCCCCAGTAAAAGTAACAGTTTTCTAGTTACACAGTAATTATACGCAGCTAATAAAATTAAATATCTGGATTTCTCTTGTAAGCTTATTCGTCTCTTTCCTTTCAGGTGGCAAAAGTACTGCAAGTCTTCAAGGTAAGCTTCATCCAAAGAAACCTCCCGAAAACGCAGGAGGAAAGGGTCTTCAGTTACGGGGTTCTGGTTATTTATATGGACACATTTCAAACAGCAGCTTAAACTTAAAAATTAAAACCCCAGTGATCGGAGGAGAAACAAACTTTAGTGGCTGGCTTGAACAGAGTTAGGAGAATTCATCAGTGCTTTGTAACGAACCCCTCCTGGAATGGAAGGGGGAAACAAGTGTTACCCATAGAGACCCAAACTTTGTAAGATCTCTGCTGTAGCTACAGCAGGGTGAATTTCACCCTAAGTGGAAAGAGCCCAGCAAATCCTTCAACTCCCTAATCCTCCCCCAAAGTTTTCTCAGTACTCAGGAAGTAAGTTCCTTTATGACTCTACTTTGTGTCCCAGAAATGTTTCACAGTCAGGAAGGTGACAGCGAGAAGCACGACCCCAGTATGGTTTTTTCTCGGGAACGTGATTGGGGAATGGGCCAGGTGGGATTGCTAGACTCAGACGTTCACTCTGCGGCTAGTTTCAGCTTGTTCTCTGCCATTTCTGAGTGCAGGCTAACTGGGCCTTTTTTTTTTTTTTTTTGGTCTCTCTCCTTTTCAAAGGATCTTTGGCTTTGTAGCCAAAAGCCAAACGGATGCCGAGAATGTCTGTCATCTCTTTGCCGAGTACGACACTGTGCAGCCGGCTTCTCTTGTCATTGACTTTATCAGCAAACTCCTCCCAGAGCAATAGATGCTGCAGACCTGCGTAGAAGCCGTTGCTGGCAGTACCTGGATGCTGCTGAGCCATTTTCTGCCATTCTATTGCCACCCTGTTGCATTTTGGCAGCTGCTCCTATTTATAACTTTTGTTACATACTTTGATGTCCAGAGTTTCAGAGGAAGGTTTTACGCTCCCTGCTCAGCCCTGGGAGCCTCTTCTGGGATCAGCTCTCATTCAAGGTCTCTGATGAGGAATCCCATGGAAATCTCTATCATGCCGAATGCCTTAGGTGTACGTATTGCAGCCTGCAGGAAGCCACAGTGGGTCAGATGGTGGATGAGTGTGCGACGGCTTGGATTTGCCTTGCAAAGTTATTTGCTCACTCATCTGGGGCGAGGAATTTTGTTCTTTAACAGGCAGGGAAAATACTGGGGCCAAGATTTTTGATAGTGATGCCTCGGTTTCTGGCTGCCCAGTTTGAGACTCTTAAAAGGATCTGAGCTCCCACCCTCCAAAACTCCGGGTTAGCACCGCCCAACCTCACAGATGTCTTGTGAGGATAAATGACGCTCTGCTACAATGGTACCTGGCACCAGGCGAGGACCTTCTGGAGACCGATAGGCCCTTCTAAGTAGCCTCCAGGTGGATTCTGCAAACCAAGGCCCCTCCAATCACCAGCTGATTCTGAAACAATCTTGGCGCCCTACGGTTTTGTGACTGAAATGTCAGGCGAAGCAGAGTTTTTTGGCCAGGGCTGGTAAATTTTTGTGCCATTTTTGCTCAGCTGGATTAGCCTGGATCGAAATATCCGGATCATGACCAGCGGAGAAATAAACGTTGATGTTTTCATGACCATAAATGTATTGGCTTTTTGGAGGAGACTTACCTGGATCTGGGCCAGATCCTCAGTTGATGTAAATTGGCAGAGCCGCCTTCTGGGGCACTCCACCTCCTAAAGGAAGCAGGTGACTCCAGTAAGTAAGAGGCCCAATTGCATAGCTAGGGCATTGGACTGGGAGCCAGGAGCTCCGAGGTCAAGTCCCTTCACTCAACGGCCATCAGCTGACGGTCTCATCCCTGCGGAGCATGAGGAGATAAACCAGGGACTTGAGCTAGTGAGTCTGGACCTGGGAAATCAGATGGGGTGTGCACAGGTTGCAATACTCATTGTCTAATCCCCTAACTCAATCTGCTTTACCCACTTGATAAGCCAAAATCCTGGGCAGTTAGTTTGTTTGTGTCTCTTCGTCCATTAACTGCTGTATTTTCACAGCACTTCCTGGGCTATTTACATAGGAGTAAGATGTTACAAAAGCACCAGGCTGTGTAACTCTTTGGGCTTGTTCTTTGGCCAGGACTTAGGCGGGCAGCCCGGTTTACTTAGGGACAAGGCTTGGGGCAGCATGGTCTAGTGGTTAGAGCCCTGGACTGGGACTCTGGAGGCTTGGGTTCTACTCCTGGCAGCTAGTGACCTGCTGTGTGACTGTAGGCAAGTTCCTCCACCTCTCTGTGCATCAGTTTCCCCTCCTGCTCTTTGTCTGTCTTTTATATAATGGCAGTGCCCAAAAGACCCCAGTTGGGACTGGGGCCCCCATTTTGCTGCAGTCTCTTTGGGGCAGGGCGACCTTTCGCTTTGTACAGAACTCAGCGCAAGGAGGCCCCAGACTCAATACATTCAATTCATGTCTAGCCAAGTCAGATGCAAAGGAGTATAAAACGAGGCAGGAGCCTTAAATCTCCAGGGGAAGACGTTCTTGAACCAGTGCACTCATTTCTATGTAAAAGTGGGGTGTGTGTGGGGGGTGTTATTCTGAGCTTTGACTTTCAGTGAAGATATTTAAGAAATGAAATCCGCTAGATCTGTTGTTTTGCAAGAACAGATTTCCAAGGGCTCCATTCTGGCTGTGTGATCCATTGCTCAGGACTCTCCGCTCGCTGAGTGGAGAGGCTATGGAACAGATTCCCTCTAGTTCTGATTCGTTGGGAGCTGCAAAACAGGGCATCAAACGCTGGTCTTCTGAGCCCTCGCTGAGCACCCCCAGCCACTGGCCCTGCAGTCCTCCAGCCTCGCCCGGAGGTGGGGCTGACCTGGTGCCTAGGCCGTCTGCTGTTTCTCTGCACAGGCTTGAATGTCACCCAAGGGGAAGAACTAGGCAAGGGGATAATACCCTACAAAAGCGCCATTGTCGTCTGCTCCCCAAATGAGTCTCTTCTGAGGCCAGGCCACGTGGCCATCCCAACCTGGTCTTTTTGTACAGAGGCTTTCTGACAAGTCTATAACACAGCAGTGCCTGCTGAGTCTCCGGCCTCTCCGCGGAGCGGGTTTACAAGGGAGCCAATTAGCACCAACTGAAAATCCCTCCAGAGTTTCTTTTTCTTTTTTTTTTTTTGCAAACAAATAAAGAGCCCCACGCAGCCCAGCCGGAGCTCTGGAATTGGAGGGATGAGCCACTTGAGAACACCAGGGGGCTCCACCGAGTCAGCTTTTCTCTCCGGCCCCTTGTGCACATCTTCTGGGAGTTATAAAGACGCAGGAAAGTCTGTCTGGCAGCTTTGCTGGTTATTGTAATGCTGTTTTGATTAAACAAAATTTAATCACTTCTGTGACTTTCAGTCCTCTGCGCCTGGCCTCTAAGAGCCTGGCCTCTGGGACTGTGATTTCTGTTATGCAAGCTGTGAACAAGCAATGTTTTAATTCATTGCTTTTATTACAGTGCTTTCCATGAAAACCTATGTATAATGGCAAAAGGGAATATGAAATTCAAGTGCTCTGGCTCGCCAAATGACAGCACTAAGAGCATTTGCTGCTTTCCTTTTTCTTTTTAGAAAATAAAATATGCAAAAATTCCCCAAGAAAATCTAATTCCCACCCCCACCCTCCACTTTTCAGTCCAAGCTGCTGATAATGAGTCCAATTTTGCAAAACTCCTCCAAACCCATCTGTGTTGCTGTTGTTTGCTTTTCCTTTTCAAACCCAAACCATTCTGGAGCAGGGAAAATGGCCAGTTGTCAAGCCAAATCCTTGACATTTTTGCATTTGGAATGTTTTGTGTCCGTGAAGAGCCCTTTGCTCATGAAATCCTGCTGAAGTTTCAGGTCAGACCAATCCAAACGCTCCAAGGGAAACTCAGCCCAAACCACCTGGATTCAGGAAGAAAGCAGCCAGCAAGTCTCCAAGCACCTCCTGGTTTCCACGGCTTGGCCCAGGATTTTTGGATGCTCAGCTCTTGGTTTAGGTTCTTCATTTTCGTTCCAGCCATTTTGTAACAAGGCCCGATCCTTTATTTTCCTGGTTTGTGGTTTTACGACCACAGCTCCCTGCACCAGCCCTAGCAAATGCCTCATGTCATCACTGCCGCTCTGCTCTGGAGTCCAGCCCGTGACGGATATTTCAAGGGCAAACACCCCAAGCCCCTCAATGCTCTGAAAAGTCACAGCCCCGGGCTACACGACAAACGTCTGACGGGGGAATGATGTCGCTCAGGGGTGTGGAAAAGCCAAATCCCGAGTAACGTGGTTATTCCGACTGAACAGCAGCGTCTCTCGGGGGGGATGGGGGGGGGATTTTCCCCCTGCTGGCATCTGAAGCCCAGGGACCATATACCGGGAGGGAATAGGGATCGCCTGCAAATGTACAGCCCAAAGTGTTCTGTCTCCAGGGGCTGTATCGTGTGAAGCAGCATAGGCCACAAATCAGATACCGTCATAGCGTGAAGCATTAAACCTCCCGGCCGCCGGCACAAGGTGCCCCTGGGTGTGTCGGTGCTGAGTGTAAGGCTGCTTCTCAGGCCGACTCTCTGATGGTCTGAGCACAGGGCTGGGCCCCTGACACTTATTCCCTCTGTGATCTGGGGCAAGGCACTTCCCGACCAGCATGGCCCATCTGCCCACTCCCCGAGGGGATGTCTCCTCCATTGGGCTCTCCGTGCTTTGTCCGGCTGAAGCCTGTGCGGGCCTCTCCCATCTGCGAGAGGCGTTCGTCTCGCTCGGGTTCTACGGTGGTGGCATCGGAAAGCCGAGCTCCCTGACTCCTTCCTGGGCAGAGCAAACTGCTGTCATCTGGAATCAGTTCTGCTTGGCCGGGAATTTACAGCCCAGACTCCTTGACCCCCATTCCCTGCTTCCTGCCTGTCAGAGCTGTTTGAGAGGAGGGGGCAGTGAGACCCTCCTGAACCGGCCTAGCCACGTGCCAGCCTGGGGTGGGACTGCCCCCGCTACCCACACGCACAGCCCAGCGCTCATGCTCATGGGGCCCCCGGGGGCGGCTGGGCCAGATCCAAGCAGCCTTTCCTCTGTTGCCTTGATCGTGGAGGGGCGGGGGGATTGTGTGACGGACAGCTAGCGGAGGCTGGCGGGAAGGTGCTGGGATGGTGATCGGGGCCACCCCGTTGGTGGACTGCGCTGAATGGAGATTCCCGGCCCTGTAAGGCGGGGTCTGCAGCCCAGGTGCAACTGCACACACGTATTTACACGTGGAAATGGCCCAGTGGGCACCTGAGCGCGTCCAGCTGATTTGCTCTCCCTCCCTTCCTGCAAAGGGGGCCCTGGAGCTGCAGCGCCCTGCCTCTCGCCCGGGTCCTGTGTTTCCAGGTGGCTCTGCGAGGCGTCCGAGAGAGAGAGCCACGTGTAGCCACAGGCCCCTCTTCGAAAAGGGCTTCCGGAAACGGGGCAATAGCAGCACCCTGGCGCACGATGCTGGTGTCTTGCTGCCGGATCAGCTGCCAGCCCCGCGATACAGATGAGCTGCTGGGCACTAGCAAGCCAGGAACCGCACGCTGGCAAACCGAGCCCCTGCCCCAGCCAGCCAGCAACGCTGCCGGCACAAAGAGGGACCAGAGCTGAAGCTGGAGGGGCCCTTGGCAGCCACCTGCACCAGCAAACCCAGGCACCGTGCCCCGGCTCCACCTTTTCACACTGTAGGCTCAGGGGAGCGGTACCTCGTAGGGGCCGGTTTCCTCTTCCTCGGCTCACCAGCCTGCTGCGACCGGTGCCAGGCTGCAGAGCCTCGCGCTGCCCAAGAGAGCAGGCTCGGCTGTAACTCCTGTGTGAAGGGGATTCTCTGCTGAGG